ACAATAACATTTATGATATTATGATTTTTTTGATTTGAGTGAGGTTATGGTTGTTTTGCATAAATCTATTAATTAATGAAGTAAGGATACTTATTTTGTCTGAGTGTATACAAACATTATTGTGTATTTTTTTTACATACGATATTATAATTATTAGTCGCGAAAAATATTGGTGGTGTTAAAAATAAAATGTTCGTAGCACAATTATTATATATTACTAACCAAAATTTATTTATTATCATATAAATTTATCATATTAATTTAAACTACAATGAATCTTATCTAGTATCATTGAAGCGATACAGAATTGTCTCTGGAAGGTCGTTGTAAGAAGTTTGACTTATTCCTTTCTAAACTAATAAATAGTAATATTGAATCACCACACCGTTTATTAAAGGTTAACTTTATAACAAAGGCTCGTTTATCTGCTCGCTTTTCACGGTCTATAAGAGTATTTGTGCCACCACGATCTCGGAAAAAATAAAGCGCCAATAATTACTTTGCTCGTTGTCTTGGTATGTACTAGGCCACTAAGAAAGTTATGCGAAAAAAGTTTTTATGTATAGGACACTGGCCACTTGAAATAATTTTGAAAACTTTGATTATATAAGAGTAAAAAATTGCACTGTTCGATTTTCAAATTTCCCTTCGCATTTTTTCGAGAGCTAATTAATTTTTTCTTGCCTCTTTATAAAATCGATCTGCATCGAGAACATTTCGTGCTATGATTTTTTACGATTTTAAATGTGGATTAAAACCTCATGAGTCATTTGATCGATTTCAAACTGCTTTTATGGATGAAGGACCTTCAAAAGCAGCCATCTACCACTGGTGTAGCTAGTACAAACGCGGTCGTCTTACTTTGGGGGATGAACAAAGGAGTGGTCGTCCTACGACGGCGGTCACCGAAGAAAGTGTCCTGGCAGTAAACAACATAATTCAAGAAAGCAGACGAATCACGTACGGAGAGGTACTCATACTCTGCAGATTGGTATAGGAAGTGTTACAAAATTTTGCACGAGCACCGTATGATAGTTTCCCGCTGGGTGGCGCACAACCTCACCGAAGCTCAGAAGCAGGCCCATGTGGATTGGTGCAGAGGATCAAAAAAAAAAACAAAAAAAAAACACAAAAAATTGATGCAGGCTCGTCACGGTGCAATTACGATATTGTGACAGGTGACGAATCCTGGATTTATCAATACGATCCAGAAACAAAGCGTCAGTCGGCAGTTTGGCTGTTTCAAAAAGAACCAATTAACGCTTACGAAAGTGAAGCGATCGAGGAGGGCAAGGGAAATTTTGGTACCTAATTTCAACTGCACTTCGAGACCAAAGCAGCATCAACGCCGAATGGTATAGCACAAAATGCCCGCCACAAGTTTTTTCTGCAATGAGTAACAAGCGACCTAACAAGCGATCTAAGGGTCCTTCTTCACCACGACAACGCGCCCGCGCACTCTGCGATCAAAGTGAAGCTCTTCGCTTTGTTTTGGGACACCCTCCTTACAGTCCTGATTTGGCTCCGTGTGACTTCTTTTTATTCCCTAAAATAGAAAATCAGCTCAAAGGGTTCATCGCCGGAAGAAGCGCTAGCAGCGTTTGAGAAGGACTGGAAAAAATGTTCTGAAAACGCATGAAACTTTGTATAGAGGCTGGTGGAAAGTTTTTTGAAAAGATTTAATAAAAATATTTATTTCCATAGAAGTTAGTTTTTTAGTTTCTCAAAACTTTCTGAGTGTCCCACGTATAACACTAAATTCTCAGACCTTAATTTATATAATACTAGAGGTCGCCCGCGACTTCGTCTGTGTTAACTTAGTTTCTTGAAAATCCCTCTGGAACCTAACATTTTTTCGGGATAAAAGTAGCCTATGTGTTAATATACGGTGTCAGCTAAATCCATACCAAATTTTATTAAAATCTCTTCAGCCGTTTAGACGTGAAGAAGTAACAAACATACACACTCACATACTCACAAACTTTCGCCTTTATAATATTAGTGTGATCACTCTAAGAAATTTTAAATCAGAAGTAATGAAAAGGTTAAGATAATTGCATTCTAACATATTTATTTCCTCTTCTAAAATCTTTTAAATATTATATAACTTTTATATAAAAGCACTGTGTGGTGCATTCCTTTTGAGTTCTAGGTTTAGTTAGTGTTAGATTATTTGTAAGGTCAATGTAATTGGTTATTTTTAGCATAAGTTTTACTTTAAGTCATTCTACAGATTTAAAAACGTTTTTCTTCCACTACATCTTTCCACAAGCTTCTTATGTAGTAATTTTGGGTACTGTTTGTTTATTTTATAAATCCTGTGTCTAAATTTTTGTATTGTAATGGCTGTTTGTGCCACAAAAAACTAAAAAAAACATTTCAAAGTTCTAAAATTGAATTATACTGTATTGTATGAAAACAATTACTACTACTAATAATAATAGAAGGAATGATTGGATACTATTGTACAAAAAAGTTATTATCCATTTAGCAGCTTTCTTTCTAGTTCTCGATGAACTAAATTGAGAAAATTCACTTTCACATTTTGAAATCTGTTGAAAGTCATTGTTGAAAATTCTTTCATATTGTAGGCGTAGGTTCTCTATTGGGTAGTCAATCATCCCACGCAGTTTGGCAGGTAATTTTATGTCACCTTATAATATATTACAACAGAGTCCGCACATTTGAGTGGAGTGAAGGCGAGTTTAACGTTTTTGTCGTGAAATTGAATGTCACTTCAAGAGAGTCACTAATGGACGTCCCAGAAGAGCATATTACAATAACTTAACCTTTGAAATTGAATGAATACGCTCAATTTTTTATTTCATTATTTCGTCTACGTAACAACCACCCACATCTACGCGATGGCAATGAAAAACTGGCAGCCCAAATTTTTCTAAAACTAATGCTGACCACTTTGCTCGTATTGGTAATGTATGAAGATGGTTATGATCTGAAAAAAAAACTGGTAATTTTACTGGACTACAAGGTAAATGTCCCTGATTAACCTAGAAGTCGTAAATTTAGTCGTTCTGATTTATGGCAGGCTAGTTTATGATAAATAATAAACCTCGAGCACAGAGAAAATTCTAATCTCATATTGTAGCAAATTTAGTCTACTTAAAAAACGTTTATCGAAAATAAATATAAAAAATAATTTAATATAAATGCCTGAAGGCGAAATCACACTTGGTCGTTAGCCAGTATTCGGGTCCACAAAAGACATTACTCGGTTTCGGGCACCCGATGCAATAATTGCCTTAATTTCGGTTACTGGAACACGAGCAAACGACTCTGCACCCGCGTTTGGGTTGAAACGTACATTAGTGATGCCAGATTTGATCCAACAATTTGGGGGAAAGCATTTTTAAGGGGTATTAATTTTGGAGGGAAAATATATGTTATGACTGCTTGAAGGAAAAACGGCGTCGGGTAACCAAAAGAAAAACTGATTGAATATGGGTGTACTCGTCTCAGTTCATCTAAACTGAGTCGTGTATTCGAATTCAATGGACAATCGTGTACGAGCTAACGACCAAGAGTAAATGCGCCTTAAATCTGAAAAAAGCCGAAGTTGCATTCTGCACTCAAAGTCACAAACTTGGATTATTATTCATTGAGCCAACATTATAAACAAGTCTGCAAAAAATGCAGTATTACCGGATTAGACGTAAGCTATTATGTATAAAGTTACTAGACTAAAACTTTGAAAGGCTTTATTAAGGAAACTATTAGAGGTCTACAGAGGCAATTCCAGTCTCATATAGTAGCACATTTGGTTTACTTTAAAACGTCCTGAAAATATATTAACACAAACTTATTCTTTACGGTAATAATCGCTAAAATCTAAAAAAAATAAGTAATGTTCTCAGTTTTGACAATTTTTGATATAGTTGAGTTCGGTGCTCGAGGTCACAAACTTGGATTATTCATTGAGCCAACATTTTAAACAAGTCTGCAAGAAGTCAGCACTACTTGATTTGACCCATATTACTAAGCGTTTTTTAAATGGAATTAAACTAAGCGCTTTTAAAATGGAATTGATTTTTTTTATATTCTTCAAAGTCGTTTTTAAAAATGTCACCGTCGTTAAGATTTAAGTTGCTGGAGTTTACCACATCTAATCAAAATTCGTTTGAACACTCAACGAGAGGGCAATAAAACTTTTTGCCCCTACTTCTCTTTCCCTATCAACTGCTGACTGAAATAACTTACGCCACTGAACGTTTGATCGAAAACTACTTTTGGTTTCGAATGAACGTTTGAAATGACCGTTGATGTACTTTTCCGTGATCGAGCGGTTTTCTTTAAACTTTTTTTTAATCCTTCCATGAGAAGCTTGATCACACTGTGGTTCACCCGTTCAGTCTGCGATCAAGGAAGTAAAACAAATCCGCATTGGACGGTTATAGGATGGGTGACCAAAATTTTACCATTTCAAGCTTCTCCGTGCATGAAATCTCCCTATTCTATCCATAAGGAAGGCCTTCTTGTACCACATAGGCTGATGACGATCCATCATTGCTTGGTGGGTTATGCTCCATCCTTCCGTTTTGATGCTGTCACTGGGAGAGACCTGTGCCCCAGCAGTAGGGTCATTAAAATACTTATAGCAATGATGATAATTTTCATTTACGCAGTGGGTTGATGGATGGGAGCTGAACAGCCAAATGTGGCTAACAGATGCGTGAGACCCTGTATGATTCTGTCACTGTGCCTCAGCAATAAGGGATTTAAAAAACTTGTGACGGCTACATCTACACGACCTACATTAAATAAACGAAGCAAAACTTGATGCTTCATAGTAACAGATGGCGCTACCGGCACTGCGCTCTAAAATTATGAAAGTCTTCACTGCGCAAGTGAAATTCGCAAGCTAACACATCAGAAATATGCAATGCATGACCAACTTTAGTTAGGCCATCACCCAGTTCGGTGGAAGATCTTTCCTTTTGGTCATTCTACAGACTGATAATGATGATGTCATTTTGTTTCCGCAGTGGGTTGACGGATGGGAGCTGAACGGCCAAGTGTGGCCTGCAGACGCGTGGGATGACGACCGAGTCGTGGAGTCATGTGACCGGCGGCCGCAGCGGAAGCTGGTGTCGCACCAGAACGCGGCGCTCATACAGTACCGTGTCCCTGCGCAAGGGAAAGGGTTCGCTGTCACCATCAGACATTTTAGGAACGCCAGACGTGAGTATTATGTTGAACTATAAAGGTTTTTGAATTTTGAGTCGCTTATAATGGTTAGTAAAGAAATTTACACGCTTTCATAACATTAATCGTGCGTCTTGAGGAGATCCTGAGTCTTCTGTGTCGACGAGGAAACCGCAAAATACTTAACAAATAATTGAAATTTTTGAAACTGTCTGGACACTGCCAGCTTATTGTCCTGGCAACAGCAGCTAGGTGGATGGCCACTGACGGCGGTGGCTGTAGACTTGGTTTAAAGTTTTTTAATAGTTAGTCGGAATGGGGGATAGAGCCATGACTCACCATACGGCCCCAGTGCGGATTAGTGGGTAGGAATTAGATACATTTTTTGATGGAATAGGGAGATATTGAAATAGATAAGGAAGGGCACTGGGCCCCATCCACACTGAGCCCAAACCGAACCGGGTCCAGTGCGGATTGATGGGTAGGATACTGTTTTTATAGAATAGGGATATTGAGCCATGATTCGCCACGCTGGCCCAGTGCTTATTGGTGGGTGGTAAATAAATATTTTTACCTTCGTTCCGAGTGTTCCACGACACTTACGCAATTTTTTGTATATAAATAGTATATTTGTCACCCACGCAGCGTGCAACGTGATGCTGTTCGGTTCGGAGGGCGTGTACACGCTGCGCAACCACGGGGAGAGTGGCAACTGTTCGGTGATAGCCGTCTCCCCAGCCATAGTACGTGTGCTGGACCTCAACGTGGGCCAGTCCCTCAAGCGGGACATCCTCGATATGGAGACTGGGACTATACACCGCGTAAGTATATTCCGTGTACAGTACACATTGTGCAACCACGGGGACAGTGGCAACTGTTCGGTAATAGCCGTCTCTCCGGCCATAGTACGCGTGCTGGACCTCAACGTGGGTCTGAAACCGCTCTAGAGATACAAACAAACCAAAAATTTAACATAAAAATCAAAGTAGTTAAAATCCACTTCTTCTTCATTTTAATGTTAACTGTGTTTACAGTTTCAAAACACACTAAAACCTTATTACACACTAAAACATTTCAAGTACGTTATGATTTTTCGTAAAGCTCGGCAGTGATATTCTGTAAGAGCAAACTCGCCGGTGTAATTTGAAATTTATATGAAATTCGTGTTCTAATTTTAAATCACACCGCGGATTCAGAGGTTCTTACAGAATAGTACTGCAGTAGGTGCCTAGTAATAGAGTGTCGGCTCAAACTGGAACGCACTTGAAATAAAATATTCTGGGAGTGTTGGATTCCTACAGAGAGCATGGCTGTCTGAGTTTCAAGTAAGTAGGGTAGAAAAGACGAAGTAAGGGTGAGTGGTACGATACCTCCCGCCAACTACAACGTTATCTATCATAATGATGATATACTGTGAACGTAATTTTTGACGTGACGTGAGTTATGCTGACTTTTTTAGGTCAGCATAACTTCATAAAAACCGTACAAGCGTGAGTAAGTCTCGCCCACCGAGGGTTCCGTACAAATCTGTAGGTAAGAAACAAACACCGTCGTCGCTTTTTTTTAATTAGAAGTGTCATTTTGTCACGAATTTAAGGAACCGTAGATTTAAGGAGCGACTGCGCAATGTGTAAATTATGTACTTAGTAATATTTAATGCTGAGTGGATGGTGGTCTAAGGAACTTTTGATAAAGTTACAATTCTGAAAATTATGAAAACTCCTACTACGTTGTTGCTACATTTCATAAAATAGGTTGTCAATTATTAACACAGCTATATATTTCGCATTTTCTTACAATATGTCCTACCAATTCTCAGATTAAAACTTCACAAAAAGTTTTTTAAAGCAAAAATAAATACAATTAATTTATTGTCGTCGGTTTGACAGGAAATATGGAATTCTATTTTGTTCATATTGCAAAAATCGAAGAGGTAACTATATTGGAGCCTTGTCTCAAGTCTGGTCAGAAAAATTAAATCTATTATGCCATCAGTGATTTGTTATGAAAAATAGGGGCAAGTATTTCATAGTTTTTAGGAGTTTAGAATTAATATTGTTTATTTCGATATACATACACAAATATTATTTTGTGTACATTTATTTATGTAAAACGGTACATTTTCGTTTTGAAACAAATATGAAGTAAATTTTTATATTTTTAAATATTTGCTTATTTCACAAAAGTTGCATGAGAACAATAAACACATAATAATTAATAAAAAGAAAATATTTCTACGGGCTAGAACGTATGGATTATACATGATAAGCGCAGTTTCTTAGCCATGTACTTTCGAACTTTGAATAAGATACGCTCCTTCAGCTGCACATACAAATGTATCGTTTTCCACAACTTCATTTAACGTATCAAATAATCGCCAGTCAATCTACATGCTTATCCCACACTTGCGTGACGAAGTTTTGGGTGGCTTTGGTACTAATATGCGCCGAAATGAGCGTTTGAACTTTAAATTAAGTACGCTCCTTTAGCTGCACATTCAAATTATCATGTGTCAAGCTATCATCTAGCGTCTATAGACACACAGCCTTCTATAGGTAAACCGCTTAACAGAGTCCTCGCCTGAGTCTGCAGGCGACGACTCAGTTAAGCGGTTTACCATTCATAACGACAAAACTAATGCAAATGTCGAACGCTAATGTTTAGCGCTTAGCCTATTTAGTACCAAAGCTACCGTCGATGCGATGTCCGTCACCCAGGTGAGGGAGAAGTCAAGCAATAATGTTAAGTAGCCTTTACCTACCACTAGCGCCATCTAGTAAGTTATCTGCGGACGAACGCGAAGAATCGAGTGAAGTAACCTATACGTAACACACATTTCTCGACTAAATACTAAACGGCTCGCATTTTTGAACATTTAATTTGATATTGTAATTATTATACAGATAAACCAGTTTAAGCGATAAAATAAACGATTTATTTAACAAAGGAGTACCAAAGACCCCGTTTCCTACCAAATAGTATTAATAATGATAATAAAGATAAAGATTATGATGTTGCTATTTACATTATCTTTAACATAACCCTTCTTAATGACGGAAGTCAAAAATAAGGCTATTCATTGTTTCTGTTTAATACTGTAGCAAATTAAATGTACATGCCCAAACAAATCCCTTGTGTATTTCGCGTAAACGAACATCTAAATTCGTGTTGAATATTTCTATTTGTAAGGGTAAGCTCATAATGTAGGGAAAGCCATAGATAGCAACCGAAATAATTGCCGCTGTTACAAAAAATATGATAAAAAATAAATTTATTTATAATAGTATTTTTAACTCCCGCAATCCTAATAGGGATGATGAGAGGCCAAAGTAAACAAAATTCTATTAAGTCCGCCATATTATCAAAAAATAATGGACACTTATTTTTTCTTTTGCCAATCAACAAAAAATTACAAAGATAAAGTACGTCAAAGTTTGTGAGTCACCAACTCGTGACGTCAACATCAACATTTAATGCTGAGGGGATGAGATGAGATGGGTGAGATGAGATGAGATGAGACATCAACTTCGACCTTTTTGTCATGCGTAAGCAGTCACTCGATTCTAACTCAAAAAAGTGCCTAATAGTAAACAAATAATCAAACGATGGATATCGACAGGAATGTTACGTTGTACATTACACCAATCCTCCTATATAAGCTGCACTCTGTTGTTATCCGAGGTATTCCTCTCGAATAACTAAACGGTTTTTTTACTAGCAGGACCCAGATTGTTAAAATTGGTAGTTTGTGCAGCTCCGAACTTTCTACTACTTACGGGGTACCGCAAGGAAGCGTAATAGGCCCGAGCTTGTTTCTTATTTATATTAATGAGTTCTGCAATTACAAACCTCCCCATGGTATTGTTTATTGTTGCATGGCTAAATAAAAATCTCTTGACTCTCAATACTCTTAAATCTAAATATATCACCTTCAGTATAAATAAGAGTATTCAACCAGACACCGATTTTACTTTAAAATTTTACACTTTTTCTGATACTTGTGTAATTGCCTAAAACTGGACAGAGTAAGTAATCTAAAGTACCTAGACGTTCAAATAGATAAAGCCCTTTCATGTAATGAATAAATAAATTAATTATCATCACGAATAAGAAATTTAATATGGATTTTTAAAAACTTAGAAATGTTCTAAAACTAAAACTACTCAAAACTAGTTTATCTTTCACTGGCTCAATTAATTTTTATACTACTGCGTCTCCGTGTGGGGTGGCGCATGTAAATCGAAAATGATCAAGTTAGAACGGGCTCAAAGATCTGTTCTAAAAGTAATCACCACTTAGATATCCAACTGATAAACTGTACAAATAGTGTAAACTTCTAACTATTAGACAATTATTCATACTTAATGCTACTTACTACAAACACTCATCACTTAACTATGATCAAAAGCTAACATTCGAAAAACGTAGATCTGACATGGTTTGTAAAATACCTACACATCACACTGCTTTCATACGCTTTCTTAACACTATATACGAGTATATATAGCAAATTAACAATTTCAAAAATTTTCTTCTGAAAAAGTTCAATATTAACACTTAATAAGCGTAAACATAAGGCGTTCTCATAGCGAGTTAATTTAATTTTACACGTTGACATTGCGGTCCCCCGTGGGTAAGTTAAAGGGTGTCATATTTACGTTGACTTATTAGTGTGTGGGGAAACTTCTACAATATAAAATTGTATAGAATAATAATGTTGGAAATGTAATATACAAAACGTCACTCGTAAACTACCTGGAGACTCAATTACTCGAAGTTTAAATCAGTTAATACTTGAATTAACATTTAAGGAATGAAATTATGCGTTTAACTTTACGCAGGGCATAATTCTATCAAAGTCATCGTATAATTGGATGTTTCAATGTTTAACTTAATAGGAATTCCGAAACAAAATATTTAAATACCTGGTTGTGCTACGTTATTATTAAAGATATATTCATGTATGAATAGCGTTTCAGTAGTTTTGATTTTTGACACAGTTATTAATAAAACACAATATTACAAATGCATCTTCCTACTCATTTGTTACTGTTAACTATACGCATTTTTGTTGTTTGTTTTAGTAACAAGATCTGTTTCAAAAATCGATACTGAACCACTATTGAGACACGATTTTAACGTTAGCGTAGCAGAATAGACACCGTGGTAAAATACATATTATTTCGTAGTATATTGACTTTAATAACTACGAAAAAGTTTGATCAGTAAAGAAAGAATCGAAATTACCCGAAATATGAAAACAATCGAAACAATTCAAGTGCGAATCAAATCAGGGACAGGGACCCAGTAGACAATATAAAGACAGACTTGTCGTGAAAAGTGTCATTACGAAATCAAACGCGCGATCTTTCATTTTGTAACTGTCGGAAAATCTTTGATAAAATAAAATCGAACATCTTGATTAAAATATGATAGTTTAGATAGATAATATGATAGTTAGTTTGCTGTCACTTATGTTTAGGGCTTCTGATTCTTTTAAGTCTCGCTGTCTGTGCGTTTGTCCGTCTGACAAACAATGGGAACAATTAAGAAATGTGTCTTTCAATATCTGTTTATTATTATTTAGATTTTTGTAGTTTGGGGTTATGCAGTCCTAATCGGACTGTAGTCACTGCAACCTATAAGATCTATTGTGACTCGCCACCAAGTTAAAGTATCTCTTTTAGCCCAACAGCTTCGAAGAAGCTCAAAATGTTTCTAGCTTTTTGAGTTTTGATTTCCTCTTAGCGTATTATATGTCGTCCCAAATTAATACTACGATTGTGGATGAGAGACCCACATTCACATAGAAGGCGTTTTGGTGTTTCACGCTCCTGATTGCAGTATCTGCAAACATCAGTGCTACTCAATTTCATATGAAATTGGTGTCTGTATAGTCTGCAGTGTCCAGTTAAAGCTCGTACGATAGCACGAATGTTTGGCCTGCTAAGTTCTATTAACTCAACAGTCCATTTTTTCAAGTAACCCTCTATAAGTGATTTCGTGTGCTCTAATCCTGGTTGGTTAAACCAGTATTTTTTCGATTCGCTTAGAAGTTCGTTTCTAGGGATGTGACAGAAAGGTTCTGCTATCTGTTGCCCCTGTTCCCCTGCTCTTGCAATTAGCAAGATATATCAGCTTGCTCGTTGCCGATTATCCCTGAATGACCTGATACCCTTATTATTCAGTTTATCAACGCAGTCTTTCACCAATATAGAGCATATCGTGTTCGAGTTAATGGCGTTAAGCACTGCTTGGCTATCTGATAAGATATATATGGCCTGGTTTGTGTAGTTCCGTTGACGAATTGCTTCTGCACATTCTATGATGGCATATACCTCCGCCTGGAATATAGAAGCGTGTTTTCCGAGATTCATGCTTTTGTTGAATGGCGGCCTTTCACCGTATATTCCACATCCTACATTTTGACCCATTTTGGAGCCATCTGTAAACCAGATTAGACTTCCAGCCTTGAAGGATTCATAGTCGTTTGATCACGTTTCTCTGCTTGGCAGTTCCACCTTGTAATTTCTGGAAAAACTACTCAGTGGAAGCATGACATCTGTAGTCATTGTTAGTAGCGCTGTTTGATGGAGAGAAGTGCTTGAGAGTGCCAGTTCATCCTGCCAGTAGTGCTTACTCTGTATATACTTGCTTTCGCCTCCTTTATTATGAATAAATGAAAGAGAGATATGTTTAGCAAAGCATTAAGTGCAGCACCAGGCGTTGAAGACATATCACCGGTTGCCATACGGCATGTTATTCTTTGCAAGCTATTCAGCTTGTTGATGACTGTCGTTTGAATGGCGTTTTTCCACCACACTACGCAGGCGTATGTTAACATCGGCCTTGTGGCGATCCCAGCTAGTCGACACCATATTCTAAGGGCGATTTTCGCCTTCTGTATCATTTTATCAATGTGATTGTTCCACGTTAATTTTTTGTCGGTAGTAACGCCCAGGTATTTAACCTCCGTGGAGAATGGAACAGGAATTCCTTCGTAGGAATTAGTAGTATTAAATCGTAGGCGTTGTAATTCAATTTCTGTTAACTACTAATAAATATATGAATGTATATAAAAGGCGATCAAGCGTAAGTCCTCCTCTATACCTTGCTTCTTTTTCTCACCCCGAACCGGCTATCTGAAACCTGAAATTGTGAAATCTTTCGCTTATGAGATTTCGCAGTTTACGTGAGGGCTTTTCAGAACAATTATGATAGTTTTAAATAAGAAAGGAGTCGAAAATGAAAAAAAAAATAGATGAGCCAGTGTTAAGCTACAAAGCACTGGCAGGAATCAAAGACTTTAACACTGTAACTTCCTATCTATTAATATATATTTTTTTTATCTTAATTTGCAGTGCACGAAGCGCGGTCTTCAGGACTACGTCGAAATAGGTGGCGCTAGTGGTCTCGACCACACCAAAATGGAGGTGCTTGATAGCATTTGTGGCTTGGATTCTAAAGAAGGTATTTTTTTAGTAATTATTCTTATTATTAAGAATAATGACTTTATAGCAAAAACATTTTAATCACTCGTCATTAAACTTCCTGAGTCTACTAATACCCGTCCGCCTATGAGTCTACACAAAATATCGACTTCGCCGATCACGACAACCCACACGATATCTTTTATATTGTTACCATTTAAAAATTAAATTGGTAAGGTAACCATTACTGACTGACTGATCTATCAACACACTACACACAGCTCTAACATCTGAACGGATAACGCTGAAATTTAGCATACATTTAGCTATTATGATGTAAGCGACACATTATTTCTTGTTTGGTGGAACCTTAACAATTCTTTCCAATCGGATACCACTTATTACTAATATAAAGAATTTAAGAGGAATAGAAAAAAAGGAAAGGAATAAGAATAAAATAAACTTTGAGTAGAGTTGAAATTATCTCATAATGATAGGAGCATTTTTTTTGTAAAAGTACTTTATTTTGATTCGTATTTAGGGATCTCATGTTAGATACTGTAGATATCTCATTAGTGTCTAATAATTTCCAATAAAAAATCTTTTTTCTTTCAATAAATAAGAAAACACTTAATATCTTTTGAATTTAGGTTTCAACGGCTCCTTAGTTTTTAAAAAAGGTCAGTTTAATTAAGATGGACTTGATTAATTTACTACCTGTTTTGCCTTTAAATGAATTTTATGTAAATGATAAAACGCTTGATTGAACCCGAGTCACGTATAACTTTGATCTCATTATAGCCATTTCTAAAGAAATACTTAAATTGAAAATGTCTTTTTGACCCTTCGGTCCTGGGTGTATTTTTAAACCATTCCTCATTTTGATGATGAAACAAGGCGACATAGTTTATGTAAGTCTATGATGGATGTTCCTGACCAAAAACAAACCTAAATTGTTATAAACATATAATAGGTTGCAAATCTAAATCTAGATCATCGCCTGATATCATAATATCATCACCAGGCCTTCCCTATGGATTAAATAGCGAGATTGGGCTGTGATCTAATACCCGCTAAATAATTTGACATATACTTAATTTGACATATACTTAAACATACTTACTAATAATCTGTAATTATTTAAGGTTATCCTCCTGTTCCGTCCATAGAAAAGGTTTGTGCCGCAGTGGGAAAATTATGATGATCCGAGTCAGTACCTGACGCTAACAAAACTTACTCTATAGAGCATGATAAGGATATCGCGTTTTTTTGTTGAAATGGTGGCAAATAGGCATATAGCCTGCATGATGGCAAGCGGCCGCCGTAGCACATATAATAGAAACTTGCGATACCAAAGATATCACTCACGCAGTTGCCTACACTATCCCGATCGCCTACCCAGTAGAGCCCTGTACCCTTAGTACGAGTTTTACAATTACGAAAACTATTATAGTTTTCGTGAGATCCCACTCGTACTAAGGGTACTGATTTTATTGTTTTCGTTTAAATACAAATAAACAATGTTTAAATTGTATCATTAAATCATTTGCGTCTTCTTCAATTTTAAGTATATTTGGTTACTTTTCACCAAAATTGACACAGTAACATAATTTATAATTACGAAAACTATGACAGTTTTCGTAAGCTCAAACTCGTACTAAGGGTACTGGTACCTTACACGCCCACAGAAACAACACCACCAGGGCGATCCCATTGGAGCAGAAATCCTGCTTCTCTCTAAAAACGATTTTGTTAATGCCTTTATCTCTTTTCTCAGGTCGACGTCCAGCTTACATTGCCTGCGAAGATACGGTAGTGAGATTGGTGTCCACCGGGCAATACCACAACTCCGTGACTTTAGCCTTTTCGCCTCTGCCCATGGAAGACATAGAACACTCGGACCTTATCTGTGGACTCAACAGCCTGTAAGACCCAGCACTCACGCGGCCGTAGAAATAACTATGAAATAACTAGTATCGACTTGCATAAGCATCACTAGTGTTTCTGATAGATCTAGCAGTATCGTATACGTACGTATCGTATACGTTTCTGTACGTTAAAAACTTTTTATTACAATAGTCAACATTTTGGTTATTTTCTGAATGTACCTTAAATAAATATATCCTTGTTTAGTTTAACATTATTGTTAAATTGTAGTATTTTAGAAGTGTTCATAATACGTGGTAATTTCTTCAGTTAAAATTTAGAAGCGATTAAAAAAAGGCATAACCATGTTATTAGAAGTAAATTGAAATTGATTTTATTTCAGAAAAGATTGTTTCATATTCATTGTTTCACATACAGATAGAAATCATAAATATTGTCAATGAGTGGCTTGATATCCTGTCTGAGCACCTACGTTATCTATTTTTTATTATTGAATCTGTCTTTTAAAAAAGACGATACTTCTTCATAGTTTCATTCCTCCAAAGTTTCAACGTTTTGTAGGTACAAAACCATTGTTTTAGTTAAACTATTAGCTACAAATTTATATCAATGCAAATAGATTTATTATTGTAAATGTTATAATTATTATCTATAGAATTATCAATAGAGTTAAATGAGTATAATTATCCTACCGTTACCGTAATATTTTAATGAAATTTTAGAAAAGCTAAGGTAAAGTGTAATTTTGTAAGTAGCAATAGTCAGTGTTTATAATATTATCTAGTCATACTTACTTGGAGCATAAATTTTCGAATGTGCAATGCGACGAAATGTCTTCGAAAATTCTCAATAAAGTTTATTTATGGGATTGATTTTTTTATTATTATTATAACCTTCAGAATCAAAAACGGAATCCCTTAGGTACACTATTAGCACAAAATAGATAATGCAGAAGGTAATCTACATAAAAAGTGCGCTTGAGCAACGGACAGACACCACTCACAGACACGGTATCTACGCATGGGATCAGTGCGAGTTTCATCCGCTTAATACAAGAGTCTATGAAATGTTTTGTGCAAAAATCGAATAACAAAATTAATAGTTTTATTTTCTGAAATAAAAAGCCAAAAATAAACAAAATATACTCTCTTTTTACTTCATTAAGGCCTTAGAGTAAGCATTGTTTATAGTTTATTTTAACATACATATTATCATAGATAAATGATTGGTTAGCGAGACCAATCATTTATCTATGATACATATATAACTGATAAAGAGTAGGACGCTATTCATTGCAATATTTGTGAAATCAATTAATATATTGCGTGATTCATAATGCTTAACAATTCGGTTAAAATTTAATAATGAAGCGCCCCACGCTTTTTCAATTAAATATATATGTTAAAATAAACTATAAACATGGCTTATTCTAAAGCCCTAATGAAGTAAACAGAGTATATTTTGTTTATTTTTGGCTTTTTATTGCAGTAAATAAAAGCGTGTTTTTAGTTTTTTAAACAATAAAGGACATGGTAGTTTTATATGAGCGACTGCCCTGACAATGTATAAATACTGTACTACTGTAATATTTAATGGTAAATGGCTGAATATTTATAATTTCTATGAAAAAAGGCTCAGGAACTTGTGATAAAGTCACAATCTTGAAAATTGTGAGAACTTCTACTATGTCATTACCTTACTACAGTTGATAAAAGATGTTGCCAATTATTTACAGAGTCATCAATTTCGCATTTTCTTAGAATTTTTCTTCCCATTTCTATGATTAACTCTTCACAAAAAGTGTTTTTAAAGCAAAAATAAATACAAACAATTTGTTATCGGCGGCCTGACAGGAAATCTGTGAAGTTTTATTTTGTTCATTTGCAAAAATTAAAGGATTAATTATCATACAGCCTTGTCTCAAGCCTGATCAGAATAATAAAATCTTTTATTTTAGGCCTTCAGTGATTTGTTTTGATAAAGAATATGGCCCAATATGTCATAGTTTGAAGGAGTTTAGAAATAATATTGTTTATTTCGATATACTTACACAAATATTTTGTTGTGTACATTTATTGTTCATTTATTTTGTAAAGCGGAACATTTTGCTTGACATGAAGTCAATTTTTATACTTTTAAATATTTGATTATTTCAAGAAAGTTGTATGAGAATAATAAACACGTAATAATTAATAAAAAAATATTGTAAAGTTACTGGCTAGTGCGAAATATTTATACACGTCAAGGGCAGTTTCTTAGCCATGTCCTTTATTTAACTCTTTTTAGTTTCAGTTATCAGGAAAAATGAACAGAACATGTTAAGATGAATCTAATGAGCCCAAACTCAATATGTTTACTAGTAGGGATAAAGGTGCATACAGCCACCTACTAGCCCCATCATCAGACCAGCTCGATGGTACCATAATTTTGTATTATCATCTAATCTACATATAATTGCTAAGTTTTATTATGTTCATATAAATCTCATGAGCCCAAACTCGATTCGTTTACTGTTAGGCAGCCCAGGGTGCATCAGCTACCTTCCAGTCTATCGTCAGGTCCTGGTCATCAGAAAAAATGTAAAGAATATGTTAAGACGAATTGAATGAGCCCAAACTCGACATGTTTACTAGTAGGCAGTCCAAGGTTCCATCAGCCACCTTCCAGTCCCATCATCAGACCAGCTCGATGGTACCTTAATATTGTATTGACATCTAATCTACATATAATTGCCAAGGTTCACGATGATACAAGAATAAGAAGTGCGTTTAATTCAGATTCTTAGATTTTATTACATGTTACATATAAATGGACCTAATTAAAGTGGTAACGCAAAAACATATTCTAATCTCTAAATTTCATTCCGTGTCATTCTCTTTTCGAATTAACCGCACCCCAGTCGATCCTTCTCCTTCAAATACTGTGCCTTATGCCACGGTAATATTATCTATACAGTATTGTGACTCCGCCCTGTCCTTGAAAATAAATGCCTACACCGAGCGCTGCGTTGGCACGCGGTAGGGTCGCCAGCCTACAGTATTTTATGTAGTTTTGTTTTTAACGCGAGTGTAGGTAGATTACTCGTTTGTCTCTTTTTTCATCCTAACCACTTACATATTTATATATTATTCCAGATATTTTGCCCGATGGAAAAACCGAAATACCTAAATATTAGAAACAAATAACGTACTAGTAGATAGGTATATAAAAAATATTCTATAAAGGTAAGACACCTTTGCAATATTTCAGGTAATTTAAAAAATGATATCTCTGGGTGTGTTATTGAAGAGTTCATGCAACCAAAAACAGCAATTGTGCTGTTGTACGATATTGATCGTCGTTTGTTCTTTTCCATACTAAATTATGTAGGTATCTACTTAATTAAATCAAGTATTTACAATACAAAACGCACTTTTAAGCACGGCTAACTGCATAAAAAACAATTCAGACCGTTCGGTCGTCGTTGCGGCGCGGCGGCGCATTCGCGACTGGGTGCACGCCGAGAGCACATCGAACTCGAGTGGCGTAGGTATGACTCGCTTTCCGACCGTTTGTATGAAGATAGAATACTGTATGATATTATTACCGTGCTTATGCTTATGAGGGAAGAAGACGCAATATATTTGCCTGCAACGACGGATGGCCGGAAGGAAATGGCTCTGTCAGCAGGCTGTCACCGCATCAACAGGAAAAAGAAAAAAGTAGTCTGTCACCGCGAAATAACGAAATGGTCGAATTTGTCATCGCGCCGCAAGCTATTGTGATTTTATTTTTCCGCATTAAACTCCGATTAAGAAGTGTGTGAAGATTAATTAATAAACAATCTTAATTAAATCAACAGATTTCCTCGAAAATAGGAGGTTTTGTGTGTGATAGCTATCAACAACGGCTTTCTTGACCGCCATATTTAACCGCTGACGTCAGGAAGAGACTGCTTCAGGAGAAGCTGGCGTATGAGCCAGCGCCACCGTCGAGGCCCTCCGCAAGTAAGCGCAGTATTTTTGTCCCAATCCTATCCCATAGACCAAACCTGCCTTATACATCGAGCCCTCACCTTACAGTCCACTCTCCGGGGTTTCGACCCCAACAGATGTCGTTTTACCGCATTCGGCTTCACCAAAAAGCCTGTTAAAAAAACGTAGAAGCGTTCAGTGAACGGTTGTATGATTCAAAATTAAACGGCGAATCGTCATTTTTTTTTTAATTTGTACCTTTTATAACAATAACGTGTTATTGGTAAACATTTCCACTTATTCCTGTTTCATTCTCAACAATAAATCAAACAACTAGATACGTATGAATGACCTAAGCCAAAGTTGACAATCTAAGCGCGGCGATGTCATGAAAAGTAAAGTACATAGGTACATGAGATTGTGGTATTATACTAACCGCCTACTATCTATTTTGTGGTATTAGACCAAACATCGAAATATCCAGAGGTTGTCGTTTCATGTCTTTTAAATAACACTCCGTCACATAACTGATATAACTAACCCAACTCAATTCAACCACAGCCAATATTTTCTATAGCTAAAACTAATTGTAAGTAATAACCTTCAATAAAAATGAAATCTTCTATCAGATTGCGTAGATTATGCATATTGCATCTAGATTCTTTGGAATCTGAATGTTACGGAACGATATTTATATCTCGATTAATACCTACAACCCAAACATTTACTCAAGGCCAAAACAAACAGAAGCCGGCGGTGGAGCGGAGGCGTTTTTTTTGTATAGTTCGAATTAGTATGAAACACACACAAGCCGGAGCGGTGGCTTGGCGGCGCGGTGCCGGGGCGGACGCGTGCGCCGTGGCCATTATTTTCCATATACAGGGTTAATTTTAAAACACCAACTTAGACTTAGACCCCTCTTAGGGGTCACCCCCTACGAATTCTACCTATGAACAGGAACAACTTTTAATATGGGACCAATTCTGAATTCGCAAAAAAAACTGCTGTTTAAATTTTCGGTCGATTGGCTGTCGCACTTTTGTATGAAACAGCAGATTTTTGTTCGCGATTTCATCGTTGGTCCCATAATAAAAGTTGTTCCTGTTGATGGGTAGAATCACCCCCTTAGA